GCGTAAGGGTGGTCGGAATACTGGTTCCTGAAATCCTGCGGACCTTGGGCCTGGGGTTGGTTATAATAAACAGCACCCTGTCCCGCCACGCCGGGGCCCGTCATGCTCGTCACAGACGGAGCGACAGTGTGGCCGCGCTCATACATCTGTGGGACGATGGGCGACGCCGGGGATTCGCGGCAAAGTGATCATCGGGCATGATCATAGCAGAACGGCGGAACTGTGACGCGCTGAACTCGTCAGCACGTCTGCGGCGGTTGCGACGACGCTATTAAAATGATTACATTATTTGACCAGACGGATTAATGAGAGCTCACCATGAAGAAACAAACGATAAAGCCAAGCGCAGCAAGTGCGATGAGACCACCGGCAATACCACCAACCACAGCGCCGGTGTTGACAGCTCCAGATACGGTTGGCGTATCACTTGCCGAAACAGTCGAGCCTTCAGCAAAAGTAGCACTAGTACGGTGACAGAGCGGAAGGAACTCGTCGTGCCATCGTCCGCTTGAACAACGAGCGACGTCTTGGTGGACGCCGCGGTAGTCGAAGAGGAGGATGTCTGTCATCAAAATTAGCACATAACCATAATGAGGACTAATCAAGACGTACGCTCAATCTGGTGCTAGAGGGGGAAGAGGTAGTAGTAGTAATAATAGATGAAGTGGGAATAGCAGAAGGAAAGAAGAAGAACTGGATGAGGAGGTCGAGGTGGTCGACGAGGTACTCTGGGATGTGGTCGGCGGGTCCGAAGCAACTAGCGCCTGCGTCGTAGTGACGGCGGTGCCGACGATGGCTCGCTCACAGACGTGGTTGGCGGCGAGGTAGAGGATTGACCAGGTGGCTGTGAAGATGCTAAAACATATAAGTGACACCTCTCATTTCGAACCTCTTATCAACATACCAGCCTGCCCAGTCGACGACGCAGCCGACGCCGCGGCGCTGTTCCCATTGCCGTTTCCGTTTCCATTTCCGCTCCCATTGCCATTATTGCCCCCATTGAGGAGGTCTGTCAAGCCCTGGCGCGCGCGGAGGAGCTTGTGCTCAGAAAGACGGTTAAGCATGGCGTTTTTGCGGTAAAGAGAGGCCGTTAAACAAAAGAATGTGGGGTCCAGAACGATTGGACAGCGAGCAGGCAGGAGGGCGGCGGCGTCGTGCTGCCCGGCGAGCTCGAAGGTGGCGGTAAGATGAAACTAGGTGTCAAGAAATAACTTGGCCTGAAGCATCATCAGAATTCTGGTTACCAAGCGTGCCTCGGCACGTGAGGATCACCATTTTGGCGTTGTACAACGTAGCCCGTTCTGGAGTCTAGAGGTTATCAAGGGCTTGTTGCTCATCGTGGACTCGTACTAGTAGGCGAGTAAGAGTAACGGTACATCGTTCATTGGAGCAAGCACACTGCGCGAAGCTGCGATTCTCAGAAGTAAAGAATCGGATTTGCAAATGACTCATGCCAACGACCCCCTGTTTTGATCCGCCGGTGCTCACGCGTCGAGGCAAACTCTGGACCTGGACCATCGCTTCGCCCTTGGCCGCGAGTTTAAGCACTTTCAAGGTGTACACCACAGTCTACAGATTGGAGCAGTTGTCGCAACGCCAGATCGAGAGAGACCACCAGACTCAGGAGACGGGGTTACACAACTGTATACATTGACCAAAGTAAAAACTGTTACATAGCATAATAACATTAGAAATAATCTATACCCTCAACAGGCTTCCTCTCGTCCTTTCTCACAGCCAGTTCTTCCTCCGTCCGCCTAACAGCGTGCAATAGATCTTTCCGTCGTGTCGCGTCATCCTTCTTGGGAGGAATCCTTTCCTCTAAATCCCTAGAAAAGCTCATGCTCACTCTCCTTGTTCTTGCATGCTCCACCTCAGGCTTCCGCTTCGGTGGAGACGCGTCACCATCAGCCCTCTGCTTCCCAGACCTCTTCGTCGGAGTGGATGCCTTCATCGGCGAACCTCTCCCCGTCTTCAAGAGCGCAATAACACGGTTGTCCTGGAACAACATCTGCGCCTTCACCTCCTTATATATCACCTCATCTATCCTCCCCATCTTGTACTTCATACGTCCCAGCGTGTTCATCGTTATCCCCTTCATCATCTCTCTCGATGTAGACGACATCCTCGACAGCAAGCCTCGATGCGGCGGGGACTGCGGAACCTTGACCTCCTCAGCCCGAGCGTAAGCCGGGGATGACTCTGCGACTTGCCCAAGCACATTGAAGGAAGGACACGCTTCCAGAGAAGCGACCTGTTTATCCGGTAGCATCACCGCGCTTAAGCATCCTAACGGGCCTACTTCGTCAATCTACCATCGGTGGTCAGCACACGAGCAACGCGTCAGAAAGCTGTGCAAACCGTTCTCAAATTGGTCCCCATCAAGTAACAAGGAATATCATGGAGCTTGAAATAGACAGACGTGGCCTGGATAACCTCCATCCCAGGATGTCGGCTCAGATTGACGTAGGTCGTTTTGCGCTTCCGTTCGTAGTAATCCAGGACCTGGTGAATCCGTTACGGTTAACGAATTCATCAAGCAAAGAAGCGAGGAACGAACCGGCCCAACTGATAGTGAAATGGCTTTCGCGCCAGCCTCCGCACACGCCGCAGCATGAGCTATCCCGCTAACATACACCGCATTCGACTGAATGCGATGCTCGAAGTAGAGTTCATTTACCGCTCGTAGACCAGCTTCTGTCGCTGGGATCTACATGATCTTGATGAGCCAGCCTTAAGTGAGTGGCGTGTAATAAAAACCAACCGAAACGATAATCCTCTTTCTCTCGATCCCACCTTCCTCAAACATATCAATCAGCCGTATAGCGCTAGCGCATATGGCTTCTCCATCGTCATGTAGTCTCGTATCGACAAACGTAAAATGTGGGCCGGAGGATCTGTCTATCAGCGCTTTCCCGAGTTCGACGACCTGCTCACACAACACGGTTAGCGCCCCGCCAAGACATCAACACTCATGCTTACCAGTCGTTCAAACACGGCACTGTAAATAGTAGGAGCCCTCAGCTTGCCAGCAGACCTATACAACGATCTCAGAACGAACACACATCCAGAGATCATGACATTACTCACAGATCCTCCAATACCATCTTTGTCGCCACCCAAAGATGATAATAAACATGCTCGTCACCCAGCGCATCCAGAACCGTACCCGGACCGAGCGCTGTCCCCTCCAAGTCGTGTACCGACACCCCAGCCAAATCCAAAGTATCATAAACGATAGCGGTCTCCGCTGCGTGAAGACGTTCCTTCAACTTGGGTCCGGCGCACCCATGGACGTCTGGCGGGATACGCGCACGCGAGGAAGACGACGGGGTAGCATTCCGGATGTGTCGACGAACCGAAAGCGGCACGTCGCGGTTGATATCACGCGGCGTTAAAGGCGCCGGTACAGGCATGAGTGGCGTTAATGTGCGTGTGCGGAGTCGTGAACAGAGGCGTTAGAGGCTCACAGGCCCATGATATATAGGACCACGACGACGCGTCCACAGTCAAAGCTCGGTGTGGCCCCTTGTGCAGAATCAGGATTTTTGATGAAGCCCATTGTTCGTCTGAAATGGGAATAATATGAGGCAGGGGCGAGCGGGGTTCAGTGTTTCCAGAAACGGAGATAGGAGATGCTTGGACGCTCTTTATGCTGGACGTTGCGTGGTTAATGGTGAAGAGCGACGTCGACGCGCCTATGTACATGGCGGTTCGAAAGCAAAGAGCGGATCAAGCCGATATCGCCGGCGACTGGGCGCCGGCATGAACAGCACTAGGAATATTTCATTACGATGCTTCTTGATAGTCGCTACGTCAAGAGGACCAGGATAAGGAAATGGGCGACATATCTATGGTCGCGTGGTTCTCGCGTGAGGACCGCGTGTCGCGCAGGAGTCAGTCGGCATTTGCGGCATCCGACAGTGATGAAGCTGAATTCTTCTGTGGCCAGTCTGTGTCACCTCTATCCTCAGCGAAGACGACGAGAAACGTCTAGCATCACTCTCTTCGAATGTGTTTAGCAATGGTAGCCCTACTTCTGCTCACGATGACGGTGACAACCATGGTGGGGGTCCAGAGAGACTGAAAGCGCCCTGCCACCCTTTACACGACGAAAAGTATTGCCTAAGTCCTCTTTAATGAATGTATTTAGTGTATGTTACTATTACTAGACATGTATTGAGAGTTACAAAGAGTTATATACTCAACGCTGTGAATGCGAGGTCCGCGGCCCAGGCCGCCCAGCATGCCGACTGACTTCCCTGCGCGACACGCGGTCCTCACGCGAGAACCACGCGACCATAGATATGTCGCCCATTTCCTTATCCTGGTCCTCTTGCGCTACGTAGTTTAAATCAACGCTGAGCAACCAATAGGTCTAAAATAATCAAGGCGAGAGAGGAAACACTTTAGATGAATGTATTTCTCCAGCTCGGAAGGCTGCTCATTCAACTAGACACTTCACATCAAGAGGTCCAGGATAAGGAAATGGGCGACATATCTATGGTCGCGTGGTTCTCGCGTGAGTATCGCGTGTCGTGCAGGGAAGTCAGTCGGCATGCTGGGCCGCGGACCTCGCATTCACAGCGTTGAGTATATAACTCTTTGTAACTCTCAATACATGTCTGGTAATGGTAAAATACACTGAATACATTCATTGAAGAGGACTTAGGCAATACTTTTCGTAGTATGAAGGGTGGCAGGGCGCTTTCAGTCTCTCTCGACCCCCCACCATCGTTGTCACCATCATCGTGAGCAGAAGCAGGGCTGCCATTGCTAAACTCATTCGAAGAGAGTGATGCTAGATGTTTCTCGTCGTCTTCGCTGAGGATAGAGGTGACACAGACTGGCCACAGAAGAATTCAGGCTTCACCACTGTCGGATGCCGCAAATGCCGTCTGACTTCCCTGCGCGACACGCGGTCCTCACGCGAGAACCACGCGACCATAGATATGTCGCCCATTTCCTTATCCTGGACCTCTTGCTTCACATAGATTCAAACAGCCGTAGCTCAGCTCGTAGAGCATCAAATCGCCAAATGGCATTTGAGATGCCTGTTCAAGTCAGGCCGGTTGTACTATGTATTGTTGAATGCTTTTTTTTGCTTCGTGTGGATTTCGGGATTCAAAATTCATTGCAAGGTTGAAGGAGCTGTGATATCAAACAACTTCATTCAAATTCTCCGCAAACAAATAAGTGGAAGTTTCTAGTGACCAAACATACACAGACCGTTGTACCCGCCAGCGAAGACACAATCTGAACGACGGACACATTGTCTACAAGCACCCACAATCGTCTGCCAGTGCGCCCGGACCGAGCGGTATGGCGGTATCCTTGCCATCGATAGGAATCCATGGGCGAGTGCTCTACAGACGAGTGTCATGAGTGCCGAGTTCATAGAGATACAAGCGGCGCAAAAGCCGTACCCACCTAGGCGAGTGAATGCGTGGTTGGAGTTGGACATGAAGCTTGACTTGAAACTGCAACTGCCATACAGTAGCTCTTCATTCACTGTCATGCCGAGAACATGTCAAAGCCACCGTTCCTCAAGCTCAAGGCAGAGCTTGTGTCGTAATAGGTGCGGTGGGCTTTTCAGACCTGCTTCCTTCATTCATCAGATTGATGTAGGCTTATAGGAATGACCACATCCTTCTCTGCTTCTCCTGCCCGCTCTTACATGCCGAAGCTCGAACGCTCTCGAATCGTACCATCGAATCACCTTCTGATCTACAATGTACATCATCCCAATCAAACATCGGTTGATCTCAATCTATCCATATGGTCATCAATTCTCACCATGTACCTCCAACTGCACCAGAGAAAGCCAGTGCCTGCCATACATTCATCACGCAGGTGGCTCGGCATCTTTTTGTGGACATGGCGTTTATAACGCGGGTGTCCAGAGTGCCCGTGGAAATCTGCTTCTTCCTCTGCTTGGCAAGATGCCTCCAAGTCCTCAACCTTCCGTGTTCGAAGCACGCTCTCCTGCTGGTGAGATCGACGACGACGTCCACCGCAAAATCTTTGGTGAGTCTATTTGTCGGTAAAGCGTCGATATCCGCGCATCTCATATCTGCCTATGTAGTTTCTGCAGCTGTAGGAATGACAATCGCTGCGATTACGACGCTAGTCCGGGTCGCTCTGCGATTCAGGCGCTTCTGGTGGGACGACGGGCTTGCATTGGCCGCGCTCGCGCTGTTGGCTGTGACGGCAGCAACTGGGGGGCTTTATTATAACCTCCGAGGTAAAGAAGCATCGTGCGCGCGAACGAACGGACATTGACGATGAGTTGCCTTTGACTAGATGGGAGTGCAATTCCGCAAGGATCTCGTGTAGCGCTGTACTACATATTCGCAGTTACCTTTGATATGACGATATGGTAGGTGAGTGTCCTTCTTCTCTTTTCGTCGTCAGTGAACAATGTAAAGGACCTCTCGGCTGTCCCTCATGGCGAACATCATACGTCTTGGGTCGTATCAGAAGCGGCTTTACACGGCAACAGCATTATTCCTAGTCGCACTACTCATCCTTGTTGCTCAAGTCTTTTGGGTATGTGAGCCCCAAGACCGCCACACGCACTGGAAGAGCGATCCAGTGCCACAGTGTGTCTTGGGCAGGAGCGTAGCGATAACCCAAATTACCAGTTCGTGTCACATTGCTTTCCCGATGTGTATTCTAATTCGAGTGACTCTAGCCGACGTCTTTGCGGACATTATACTCATTGCGGCTCCTCTTTTACTTCTCAGGTACATGCAGTCGAACGAGATCAAGATGCAAAAACTCCGCTTGGGCGTATCATTCGCTGTCGGCGGCTTCACCTCAATCGTTTCAATCGTTCACGCCGTGTATCTGCTCCAGAACACGCAGATATCTATCGTTGTCAGTAACGCCGAGGTACGAACTTCTTCTTCGTTTGATTGCTCACGCTTACGCGACTACTTATAGCTCTCTGTCTCCGTAATAATATCCAACTTCGCGGTCCTGGTGGCAGCGGCGACTCGTCTCTGGAATAAGTATCATCCCGCTAAGCAGGAACCAGAGCACTCGACGATGCAGTTTGAAACGCCGCCCGGCGTACGAGCGCAGAAGTCGACACTGAGCTCAGACTCAGTGGGTGCTATGGATGATGGAGCGTTTGCCATCGAGATCGTTAGTCGAGGAGACGAATCACACTCGGACGATGGCATTGCCAGTAGTCGCGGGAAGGAGATTGCTGCATATGCCGATACACGGGGTAGTTCAGTATTCTAGCAGTAGTGAAACGCAGTCTTCGACAGAACTGAGTGGTAATTTATGTAGGCAAGCGCATGTGCAAAGCCGGGGGGCTTCCTGACCAAAACCGTAACGAATTGAGGAATAGATTTGTGCTGCCTTTCGGAGTCGAAGAATTTTCATTCCAAGTCGGGGCCCTCCATGCTGTCAGACAGAAATGCGCTGTTCTTCCCGGATCCTCGATATGAGTAGCCCAGCCGCCATAAATTCGATTTAACTAATTTTAATTTTAAGTCTGACACGCTTCGGATCAAACGGCATCAATGCAGAAGCTCGTTCAGGGTCACCTTTAAGTACCTGTCTCTTTCTTTCTTGTACCACATTCAACATTGTCGCGGACAGGCCAAGCGCATTGCACGAAGAGCGAATCCGCCGAATAACCGCGATGTTTTCCATCCATGTATGACCGCTTGTCAGTTACAGATGCCCTGAACGGACAATTGGATTGAAGACAGTATTGACTGCTCCATTTTCTCTGTTCCTCCTTTTCGCTGCCGTCTTTTGGGATTGACGTGAAGAACTAACTGGGCTGGACGGGTATAAGTACCAACGCATGCTATGGACTCTACTAAAGCACTCATCCTTCGCTACTTCATTCCCATCACCACCAATGGCCTCTTTCACTCCCGAAAACATGTCCGGAAAATATAGGCTGGTGCGTGTTTCCTTCTCGTCTCGCGTTATGACGCTCACGTAGTTGAAATCCAACAGAACAAGCAGTTATCTACGAACATGGAGGAATTGATGCAGATTCAGAAGGTCGGCTGGGTGGTTCGCAAGGCCGTCACCAGCGCGCCTGTCGCGTTGAGTCTCACACACGACAACACGACTTTCAATGCTCTTGCGGAGGTTGCCGGGATTCCTGGGACTGCCAACAACAGACGCCTCGACGGCACGTCCATTGAGGAGAAGCATCCTATCCTTGGTCTCATCAACAAGCGCGCTGTGGTCGCCGTCCTGGGCGACGTTACCGAGGCCTTTTTGAAAGACGCTTGGAAGGGACTGGATCCCGCTACCAAATTGGTGCTCACCTCCTACGAGAGTGTTAAAGAAGGATGGAAGACACTTGAGGTACGGCGATGTTTATAGTACTCTCTTGCCGTGTACGACACGCACTGGGCACTCCTAGGTTACCACTGTCCAAGAGGTCGACGGCCAGGTTCGCTTGGTCTTGTACTGCTTTGGAACCAACGACAAAGGAGAGGTCGTTTGCGGCCGGGTGGTTTATGACAGTCAGTCTTTGGTCGGTTCTACTGTTCGTGAATTGTCGCTAATAACCACCAGGAGTCGATAAATAAATGCATTGAATGTTCTGTGTATACGACTACGGTCAATTGCAATGCGTCTTTTCCTCTCTCGCTTGGAACATCGAAAAGCTCTGCATGAAAGTGTATTGTGAAGTCGATCACGAGGAGGACCAAACGCCAGACTGAATTCTGGTTTTTTTGTCAATGGTACTGATGGACGTGTGTCTGCGATCCTCGTCCGAAGTCCCGAAGGCTGCGGGTAACATAGAAGCTCTTCAAGACTCACCAACAATGGTATGGTGGGTGACCCATCTTTTTTTGAAGTGACTCCATCCTCTTTACGCTGCATTATAGCTGTCGCGGACCGTGTGCTGCACTCAACTCATTTCCCGACCTATCGGTCTCGAAAAATATCGCTACAGACCTATCAATCAAGACATCATGCCTGCAAGCAGTTCGCAGCTCCACCGCCGTACGCAGTCATCGGCGGCGACCAGCCAGACGAGGTTGGTGACAGCGAGAAAGAAGCATAGATGCTGCGATCCGAAATCTTTTCACTTCGAACCATCACCATCATCATCGTTCCCAACAATGACCATACTCATTTCGCATATTTTTGCACACACATACAGCAAACAGTAACACTCGGGATCTCACGGCTATCCCACCGCCAACTCTCCGACCATGAGAGCCTGAACAGTGACAGCGCCATGAGGGGCGCGTCGAGGACAGCGCGAACCTTGAGAAAGTGCGCCCCCAACGCCTTTTCTGAAATGTTTTACCTTTGCTTATACCGACGACAGACATTACGCGCGCGCTGAAACCTTGTCAATGCATGATATCTTGATATGAAGGGATAAGCGTGGAAACGGCCAGAAACACAGTTGCGAGAAGTTCGACAAACAGATGTTCTCAGCGATGGCAGGCTAATCGGCGTAGTCACTGGAATAGCGCGTTCTGCGGACGAAAGCGCTACTAATCTACTCTGGATCCATACACACTCGGGCTCAGCCGGACCTTCTTCCTCTGCACCCGCGATAACCCTCAATCTCCCTGTCCTGCGTTGCCTAATGACTTGCTTCGAATCACGTCCTCATCACCAGGTGGACTAGCGCGTCCCGACACGAGACTGTGTACGGTACGCCACTTCTGAATTCTCACATACAGAAGTATAAGACCTATGGAAGGGAAGCCTTCGCCGTTATCCTGCTATGCCTACTTTCACTCAAGCCTTTGTTACTTGTGTTTTCCTCGTCGTTGTGGTCCTCCTCATCAAGGTGTTCCGACAATCTGCAGTCTCACTCGTCCGAGGACCGCCATCATCCTCGTGGCTCCTAGGTAAGCCTCCTTCCTTCCTACCAATCATACACGAACCATTTGGCGCTGGGGAATGAACAGGCCACGAGAAGACTCTCCTCGCTCAAGATCAAGTGGGTGATGCAGAGTTTTCTTGGTTCCGCGAGTACGGAAGTACTCTACGCATTAAAGACTGTTTCGGGGTGCGCGCGAATCCGCCGATGGAAATCGGTATTTCTAATCTGAAAATGCCTTACAGGTT